AGTTAATAAAAATATAATCGAAATTTCAAAAAATCGAAATTATAGAAATTATTAATCTTCAATAATTTCGCATAGAATAACGAAAATAATATGAAAAATATTTTAATAAAATAATAATATATTAATAGATGATATAATATATATCTTGAATATTAATAATATTTCAAATACGTATATTTTCTATAATTAATGAATATATAAAAATAAATACGAATAGAATAAGAATAATAGAAAAAATTGAATAATATAATATGAATTATTTATCTTATATTGAAATAATATATTTTTTCGAAGATTTCATTATATCGATTATAATTTCTCAAATAAATTATATAGAATATTTAGCTTGCTTATGATATTTTTATAATATATTTTTTTTAATAATTCTATAAAAATAAAATATTTAAGATTTCTTAGAATATGATATCTAGTCCCTAGATAAAGGTCAATATCGAAGCTAAATATGATAGAAAGTCCCCTCGGGAGCCTTAATTATGAATATAGAGCCAAATTCAAATAAGCTTTTTTTTATCCTGGATCCTAATATTATGGCAAACCATAAAATTAAATAAATCTTTATAGAAAGAAATAATATGATTTCTTATCTTCCCCTTCTGATTTGGAGCGGAAATAAATTTCAGGAAGCAATCATATATATAAAATACGCTTTCATCCATTATTGATTCTATAATTTATATATTCAATAGAATATCAAGCGGGCTGATCATACCTAATGATTCAGAATAATATATAGGAACTCTTTAACTATGAAATTTTAGAGAAGCAATAATTTTGACTGATATTGATTCCTGGAATATGGCCTGAGGATATGCTCGACGGCCTCGAGGTCAGCACTCATATAGAAAATCAGCAGCAATTTAGCAAACTACTGGAAAAGGAGACTTCTTCCAATTACCGTCCCCGTAGCATAAGGTGACTTAATAAAGGAGATAATGGAATATAGGGATGCTCAATAATTTAACCTGAATTACTTAAATTATGATTAGGAAATCTCCTAATGGAGATATTCAATAATAATAGAGCATAAGATCATTTCTGAACAGCTAAAAATTTCATCAATAGATCTTTATATTGATCATTTATTTGGCAATAGTCCAATATGATATTATTGTTGCCATTGATGATTTCGCAAATTGATAATATATTGACGCGATCTGTCTTGGTCTGAGGATGCAATTTTCTATTTTATCTTTTATGGAATATAATGATATATGCCTGATTATTTTTATAAATTTTGGGAATAATATTAGAATCAGGCTTTCTCATATATTCAGCATAGGTAAAGTATTGAAGAGCGCGCTGCTCCATAATATGAATTGACCTTCTATAGAATTACGAGATATAATTTTCTGACGACGACTGGACCACGATAGAAGTCCGAAGCTTACGGATCCTTCTAAGGCAAGAATATATATATTTGAAGAACAAGATATATCGATAGATCTAGCAAAATCTGAATCATAAAAAAGAGCTAATCCCAGATTTGATGACGGATCATTGATCGTCATAATCAAGACATAATCTATCGAAGAAAAGATATAATCGATAAGAATCGAAAATTCTTCTGATATGATTCTTATTCTATAAATATATGGGATAGAATCATGATGATAGCTCCAAGAAGATCGAGATGATATAGTCGGGCTAGCCATAAAATTTTTATAATAAATATCAAGGAGAGATATCTGATGCGACTTCATAATTAATATTCTAATGGATTCGTTTAATTATACGCACTATTTGGCGAAGTTCATAGATTCCAAAATCAAAGATTTAAATTCTTATCAAATTATAAAATAATGATAATGATCTAAAATGTGAATTAATATAGCATAGGATTCAAATTCGACCTATTCCGGCAGGGATCTCTAAAATTCTTCATACAATATCAATTTTCCAGACAAGGTCAAATTATCGATATATATATAAAGAACTAAGTCTAAGGGCTTGAAATAATAAATAGATGGCAAATTATTAAATTCAATATCATCCATCCAAATTGAAAAAGATAATATGAAGATATTGCTACCAATAGGCAGACGATTCTAGGAGTCCATATATCGCTTTGAGGAGCGGGATATATCTTCGAAAGATATGATTCTTATCTGGAGGGGCGAGCTCAAGAAAAAATAAGATATATATATATATGGTATTTGATCTTAATCCGCGCACGAATATATATATTTTCATGTTATTATTAGTACTAATCTCATATGATTCAGATAATCTAAAACTCGGAGAGAAATTCTAATCTGACGAAGGGGATGAGGCAAAATATTTTTCAAGTATTATAGATATCCCTGATTGATCTTATATGATATTTCCCTTCGTGATATTTGTAGTATTATAGCAATCAATTAGAGATGCTAGATTTCACGGACCTTGATTTGATTTTCGACTCGAGTTTGAATAAGCTGAAATATCAGAATATTCTGACTAGATTGATATTCTTGTAATGAAGTCTATAAATCTTGATAGGATGTACGTTGTGCACTGATTTCGACTTGTAGCCTACTAAATTCTCTTTTTGCTTCAGCTACTTATTGCTCGAGGAATAATCATATTCGCAAAATTCCTGTATCGTGCCTCCGAAGTGGACGCAACGGGATAAGGAGAAAGTTAGTTTCGGGGAGTTCGAGCTGAAGCTCTCTGAATGGCGGGAGGAGATCTTTCTCTGATGGTCAAAGCAGAACTATTGTCCGATCTTCTTGAAGCATAGGAGGATTCTTATAAATCAAGAATCGCAGCCGCTGAAGCACTGGATACCTTAAGCAAGGAGCTTGGATCGATAGGAGATGATTGGGATTACGATATGATGATGGACTGATATTTTGAGATATTAAGGATTGAATGAAAAATATAATATCAGTTAATATCGCAAAGCGTTAATTGGACCAGCTGCGGAAAGAAGCCCGTGGCGCTAAAACCAATCAGATTGCGATGAATAAATTAATCTATATTAGATCTTTAATAAGCTTGATATGATATATATCAGATCTAGCTGGAGCACATCCTGCTGAGACCCGAGGTATAGGCATTAAAAGCAGCCGATATATTTGATTCAGAAAGATATTCATGAATAAGGGCGCCGAATCCATGCCAAGACCGTGTCTTCGACTTCAATACTATTCATATATGATCGTCCCAATGGACTCCTGTCACGGCTGAGGCATTGAATATAGAAATTCTGCTGCCCAGCCCAGATGAACTCTATAATGATCTCGATATTATCGTCTAAGATCAAGAATTCAGCCGAGGGAAATTCCCGATGACTGGCCGAATGCTTGCCTCGCGACTCAACCCACTACCGTGTCACGATTCCAAAATCCAGGAAATAAAATTCCATAGCACCGATTTCTCTAATATCTTTATAAAAATTCATAGCGCAATCATGAAGTCACGACTCGTTTTCTAAAGAATGAATGATATGAGAATAAATATCATATAAATTTGATAATTCTGATCTTCCGTTCTTGCTGCCAGAAGCCGCTTCATTATAGAAATAATCTCGGGCAATAATATCGGTCTGGCGATCGGATAACGAATGGTATATGGACGATATTGGCCAGGGATAAAATATCAGTTAATAGTATAATCCGGATCATGGGAATCCTGAAATTGTCAAGAAAATTAATATATCGATTTATAATCGGAGAAATAAATAAGATACTCCCGCCCAAAATATCGAATCAATAAAGTCTTCTACCGATGATGCCGCTATCGAAAATATTTTCTCTATAAGAGCAATCCTTTCAACCCTAGCAGTTGGAGCAGCAGGAGGAAGATACAAAGACCCCTTGCGAATCCCAAGTGCCTTCGCCTCAGATTGCTCTGCCTTCTTCTTAGGCGGGATATCTTTCGGAAGATCCTTGGCAGTCAGGCGAAGCGAGGCGGAGAAAGCGGGCGGAATCAAAGTCGACGAAGAATTCGAAAGAAATATCTTGGGCGGCATCTAGATGCTATATATGAGCAAATTTCGAAGATGTCTTACAAGATAACTCATCTTGTTCTTCTATTTATATTAAGACGCATTCATTATCATCCTAATCACAAGAATCCAAATCGGGCGAGTATATAAAAGACGAATAAAATCAAGATCAATTTCTAATTGAAATCTAGTATACATTTTATCTTGAAATTAAATACTACGATCTTCATATATATCTCTCGAAACTTCCTAATAAAGAAATTAAATTCTTCCATCGGAATCATCTAATAGTGCATCTAATATCTTCAATAGAATAAAAATTCAATTAAAGACCATTATTTAATAGACAAAAAATATAATTAATAAAATTTCTTCTATATATCACAATAAATATAACCCCGAGAAATAATATTAATATAGATAAAATAAGAAAAGAAATCCCACCGACAACTCCAATCTTATATAGAAAATTTTTTAATAAATTCCCTTTTAAATCAAATATTCTAACAATCAATATAATCAAATAAAAATTTATATATAGAATTCATATATTTATAACTAAATATCTAGAATTTCATACTATAAGAATTACAAAATATAGAATCTTTAGATTTCTAATATTTTCAGAATTTCGTCTCGTATGAAATCTTATAAATTCAACGAGAATATATTTTCGTGCCTCCCTAAATTATTGAGAAATTCAGATATTCGTGCCCTGGATTTAACTAATTTTGAATTCTAATCGAATATCGGATATCAATATGTAGTAAAAGGTTATTTACCTGTACCGCCTCCGGCTCTGGGCACGACACTCCTTTCGAACTTCTCTAATTCTAGGCAATCAATTCTGTTTTTTTTGAGGTATATATACATATATATATATAAATATATTCGAACGGAGGGATTGCTTCTTTCTTGCTTTGCCTTTGTGGAGTGCAGCAAAAAATCGGCCCACTGGGTTTGCCTATTGGTTCTCCATCCCTATGCTCTTCGAAACCGTCTTCGGAGCTGTCATCTGCATCTCCACAAACTCGATTTGAACCTTATCAAGGAGTTGCAAGCTCGCACTGTGACTCGCGGTAGCCAGTCAATCGCGCACGGCAATTTGCAGCCAGAATGCATTGGGGAATCTTGTCCGCCACTGAACCAACAGCGAGATGATGCTGAAGGATGGGATCTGGTCGCGAAATATTTTGCTTGCGGAAATGCGACGTGAGTGTAAGCTGCATAGACTTTTTCGGTTGGATTCGATTGATCTGCCGTCGTGCGACTTACCGCATTTTGCCTCATACCTCCACTCTCTGTCGAGCTGTATCTGCGCGATTGCGTTTGTGCGCTGCAGCAATCGTTGGGTAGGCCTGCGACAAGAACATCCGCAAATAGCCAATCACCGCCTGTCAGATCGAACCGGTCCATCGAGCTATCTGCATTGCAGAATTGCCAGGCCTTGCAATCTTCACTAGACTGCGGATTCACAAGCAAGCTCCTGTACACATGAACGCCTCAGGCCAACGGCGTGCAAAACATGCTGCCATGTCCAAGCGAGAAGCCAGCCATCTCATGCTTTGCGCCGGGCTTGCTTCTCCCAAGGCGACAAGCACCGCCTGCCACCGCAGTCACTCTGTCTTCGACAGCAAAGTCTCAGAAACACCATCGGCCTCACTCGCCGGCGTACCCCCGAAAAGATCCGGTACAAGGAGCTCGGTCGCCTGCTTCCACGAATTTGGGAAAAAGAAACTCAGCAGTGTGGCGAAACGTGCTGCGGGCATTGCAAATCACGGGCCTCGATGTATGACTCGGAGTTATCCTGACATCAAGGCTCTACCCAGATCTACCCAGCCCCTCACCTGTATGAGAAGCTTGTTCAAACGTGAGCATGTCAGAGGACGCCACCGATCCCTCGCCGAAAGCTCGCACGCAGAACTCACTAATTTGCACCTGAACGGCTGAGCGGCGATCATGCTGACATGCTGTGACGCTGCTCAGTAGCACGTCAGCCAGCCTGCTGGTGCACGTTCTCGGCCTTGGCACAGGAACGTTGCCATTGCTCAAGTGAAAACACTCTGACATGTGCCTGAATCTCGAAGCCCACGCAGTCTGGTAAGCACCGCATGTGAACCTCACAGCAGATTTCCACTGCACAGGATGCGAAGATGTGTAGACACCATGCCGGATTGTGGCTAAAGCTGGAGTCCTCCAACAGTCGCAAGGCAATGCCTAGGTACTAGCCTCAGTTTAGATGCAGCAGCGATCAAGTTGAAACCTGAACGCCATTGACGATGGTCTACCATGTAGTACCATGTACATGACGGGGCCTGATACTGCATGGCTTACAAGCAACTCAACAGTTGATGCGGCATTGCCATGGCGCCTCCTTCAAGCATCGCGATACGAAGCTCCAGTTCGGCCTCAGCTGAAGGACTGGTCATGGCTCACATACAGGTAATGTCTCTCCACGCCACTCGATGCAAAAGCGAGTCCCAGGCGTTGTAAATCCAAGCTCTGCAAGGATGGTCCTCACAAGCATGCAACTGCAAAGAGTACGCCTCTCCTCTGCCTCGTCTCTTCGCCAACACGAGCGAGCATCGTCGCGTTTGGTTTGGGCTTCGGCTCAAGAGTCATAGCCCCTCTGTGTAGCCCCCAGTTTTGCGCTGTTGCATGCTGTCGCCTTGTCACGCTGGTTGTCTTGGCCCTACTCTCCCCCAGGATCACAAAACCGGTAAAAAGCAGAAGGTCCATGTAAAATTCACGCTGCACAAGTGAAGGAGATCGGGTCCTCCCCCATTCTCTTAGGTATGGAAAACATCGGTATTTCGTGCCTTGCCCAGTTCACCGAAACTTACACTGACTTCTCTCGCTGACTGGTCACATGTCTGCAAAAGCCGGCGCCAAAACCGGATTGAGCGCTTGCTTTAGTGACTTCAGTGTTGCGGGTCGATCGTTTGGCTCCCGTCATGACAAGAGACAAGAAACCCGCTTTCAATGAGAATCCGTTTAAGATAATACGAAGCAAGAGGGTTCAGGTATTCGGGTACCGTTGTGACCTTCCAAGGGCTTTCGCATCTGAGGTTGCAAAGGTCCCGCCAGGCTCAACAACACGCACAATACGTTGGACATAAGTAAACTCTAACACGATGGCACAAATGCCAGGATTTGAGCCTATGTCCGATACTTGTGAGCGGTACCACGGTTGTTGAACCTCTTATATAGTTTGGAGGTGGGTCTTTGCGGTCCCTGCCGACTATACATGCTATCTTCAGAATCAGATCTTTGGACCTTCGCTCAGCGAAACAATAAAGAGTTCTACACGGTTAAAGAAAAGGAGACCAGAACCTTCCGCCCAGACCCAAGCAATTTCAGCCAAACCTACATTGCATTATGTTAAGCTATACTATGTTCTGCCGTATTTTTATGTTGGACTATATTGTATTGTATTACAGGCTCCGGAACGGCTAAGAGCCCTACCTTCCCATTAGAGATATCTCGGGAACTTTATTGGCAGGCCATTTCCATCTCAAATAATGAGCTTTGGATTTGTACCTAACAGGCAAATCTACAGAGAGCTGGCGACCGCACGAATTCACACACTTAGCCCCCTAGCAAGGAAACAGACAGCAAGTACTCGGTCCCGGTCTAGGGCTTGGGGGTTCGATTCAGGTTCGGGGTTTAATCAGGGTGTGGGGTCTTAGGCTTTCAAGCACTCTAAGGCAGAACTGGGGCTTGGACTCGGTGGCAAAGACCTTCAGATCAGCCATGCCGATGCTCTGCAATGGGGGCAGAGCCTCCTTCAAGTCGGGAGCTTCAAAGCTTAAAGGTGGAAGAAGCTTGTTCTGAGTGCGAGCACGGAATTCATCACGTCATGAAGGGAATCAAAATCCCTTGGCACGCACTGTCTTGCAGTGTACATCTTTATCAGTGAAACATCAGCACATCCTGGCCGGGGATCCAGCGGAAACAATTTGTTAAAGCCTTCCACGGCCATTGACAGCCGTTCCTTCAAGTGCTTTTCCAGACCGGCTTGGTTCTCGGTATGGTGGCCTCAAACAACGGCAGATGTCCGTAAAGCTCGAGAGCGCAGAGGCTCTGATGTACTCAGACTTCGCTGGGACGAGCACCAATCTTGTAGCACTCAACTAGCCGGGCCAAGCCCTCCGAGGCTTGCAGTTCTGGGCTTCGCAGATCTTGGCAGATTCGCCACTGACACTTCCCCCTGCCTTGAGGGAAAACTCGTTGACCCTTGCCACTGCTGCAGCCTGGGAGTATCCCCGGAAAGCCGCATTCATGGGATCCAAGGGTCCCCAAATCAACTACCCCGAGGTCGGCACCAAGATGGCCTGCAAGCGAGCTGCAAGACTTCAGGATCGGCTCAGGGCCAAGGATACCCCCTCTTGGCCTGGCCTTTCTGAGCTCTGCATGGCTCACCAACAGCGTGTTGTACCTGCTAAGCTCGGAAAAACGTGGGCAATGGAGCATGTCTACAATTCAATCAAAACAGACATGCACACCACACAGATATGAGATTTCAAGACAGGGGTTTCTCGATTTGCCAAAAAAGAAATGAACTTGCAGGGGGTCTACCCATTTCTACTGTCGAGAGCTCGACCTCGACCGTAAGCCCAAACCAACTCCACTTCAATCAAGCCGGAGGCTTCAGAATGGGGGGCTTGGGCTCCAGGTCTCAAAAACAAACAGCCGCAGGCGCACGCCCAAGCACAGCGCCACAGGGCGAGTGGCTTCAGATCCGAAATGCCCTGGATGATGTGAGGCCTAGAGCAGAATTGCCAGGTCGCAGCAGTGCCGATAGCCATGACCGGACGTAGGCGGCCCACGCGACAGACTCCATGAAGCCTTTGTGCCGATACTGGACCTTCAAGTCATCAGATGCTTCCGTGGAACCTTCTCTCTGCTGGCCGACTCAGCCCCCCACCATTGCAAAGCCCCATACGATCTGCACCAGACCTGACAGAGAAAAGAGGTGGTGCCCTCCCTTTGACGTTCTCCTCCACGCGGCACCTTGGGCCGTGAAGCCGGCCTTGTTGGTCCTTGCAGCGAGTCAGTCACAGGTCGTGTCAGCCTGATGCCGCAAGGCTCCGACTCAAAACACATGGCCACCTTCTCGCACAAGTCGGATTGCCTGTCACGGAGAAAGGAGAAGGGCTAAGTCCGAGATACACACTCCGAAAAAAATCCATCCTAATTAGGCCTCATTCCCAGCGCTCCAAAGGCCCAAGTCACGTGGGCCAGCTGCGATGGGGTGAACTTTTCAGCCCTCTTGGCAACCTGCCGATATGTAGATCTCATGTCGTGTTGATGCCGACATGTGGGCCGTTGTGAGCCTTCGAGCCAATCTCCGACATCAGACCAAAATGTTGCCTTCGTGTTGCTCCCAGCGACCCCCAGGCTGAAAGGGAGACGTACGGGCATCTCAGCGCAGCGCTGCCCCGTGACAGCAAAGGCCCAGGTGAGCATCGTGATCTCTGCGGCCTTGAAACCTGGTGCACTTGCACATGATTCCAGACGCCGGAGCTCTCAGATGCGAACGTCCGTACTCTGAGCTCATGCACTGCCAATTTGCGGCTCTGCTTGCTCTGCAATGAACCTGCTTCAACGTCCAAGTCAATTCAGTCCTTCCTCCATCCCAACGTCTCTTGAAACAGCGAGAAGAGGAGGATGAAAGAGAGAAGTTCCAGAGAGGAGCATCACTTTACCACGTCATCAGTGTGAACCCAGGCAACACACTCAACCTTGGCAAACCGCCCATCTTTCTAGGAATCATACCATGTTTCACGAGCAAGCACGCATTGCAGAAGACTGACAAGAAGAACATTCAACCCGAACAGCAGGTCCCCACTTGCACTTTGTTCATCGAGAGTTTCTGCCTCGGAATCTCGACATCCAAGTGACTACATCTGAGACGGAGTCTCAGAAACTGCAAGCGGAAATCTTGGAGGCCAAAGAATTCAGAGCTAATACGAGAACAACCAATTTCAAGTCCAACTAGAAGTGACCGCCGCTTCGACAAGCAAGCGCCTCATCACCGAATCGGTTCCCATCTGGTTCTTTGCGAAGGCCCAAGCCTCCATGCAGGGGGAAGGAACCCGTAGGCTGTGATATGCTCTGGCACAAGTCTAAGAGTCTAAGTAGCTGGGGGTCTGTCTATGTTGGCAATTTCCGCAGGCTCCATGGTGGCCGGGCCGGCCGAATTCCTGCAAAGAGCAGATGGCATGTGTGCAGTTCGTCGCGACTCCGCTAGGACCCGTCCTCTGCACTTGCTGAGCGATGGCCAGGTAGAGGCCTCTGTCCTCCCAAAGCCAAAGAGAGAAAGGCAGAGATACGACAGAAGGCTAAGAGGTGTCGATGGCTGGGAATGAAAGACACATCCGAAACTCCTGGACTCTCAGGTTGGCAAACGCCCAAGCAAGGTGTGCCAACTCCTCCCAGCAGTGAGCTCGGGTGCGCTTTCGTGAGGCTGTAGTGGCGCACTTCTGTCAGCTTGACATCTTGTAAGGCGAATACTGGATTGGTGAAGTTGCCGATCTGGTTGATCGACCTTCGGACAGGCTGCACCGATGCTGCAGAAGATCTGACATCCCCAGTGCATTGGGTCATGGCTCAGCTGAGATCGCATTCAGGAGCGGATCCTGAGAGGGTGCTCTTAGGTGCCACAGATAACTCATTTCAATGACCTCTGAGCGCTCCGCGTATTTGAAACTCAGCGTCCTCAGGTTTTGTCTACAGGCAAGCACAGACTGGCAGCCCCAATCATTCCGACATGCCCAGCTGTCGCCGAAGCTCGAAAACGCCCACGAAACCATGGACATCTGGGCAGGCTCAAAGTTGTCTCTTTGCCTGCGAATCACATGCAGCTCCGAGGACTCCATGGGACTTCCAAGATCTGCCTGTAGAGCGTCTGGGCAATCGCCTTCAAGAGCGGCTCCTGTCGGCAGCCGGGGCAGCCGAAGCTTGCAGCTCTACACTTCCTCTGCTTTGTGTCCTCTCGGGCGCCCCACTGCGCCATGGCCCAGGAGATGCTTGCCCTGCCCATGCAAAATCCAACCGGCACTCCTTTCACCCGCAGCAAAAGCTGAGCTTCGGAGCAGGCTCTGCGTGCTGAAGGTCTCCATCTTTTCCTGCTCAACACACGACCCGTACGTCAAAGCTCAGGCTACGGTAAGCGCACAACAGCAAACATGGGAACATGCACCGCGGTCCATGCACTCGCGCGCTAGACACTGAGCGAGCTGAGCATTCCACCTCAGCTGTTGAAACAGAAAGACGTTTGCAGAGCTCGAGGCTTCTGTTGAAAAGAGGCACTGCAAAAAGAGCCGACAAGAAGACTTCGGTTGTTTCCGCCATGTTATCTGATGCTGTGATCATGGTTTTCTTATCTTGTTGAAAACGCTTCATGCCTGTAGGAGCTTGCCGAATCATCCACTTCGGCTCACCCAAGATCCGACTTTCACTCAATCCCCATCCAGGTTAACTCAGGCTTGTTTTGGTTCTTCTATCCGTGTCGAGATTGCCTGTATTCGGTTTACAGAAATCCACATACCAGGAACCCAAAAGGTGGCTGATTGTCAAAAAGGCATTGACGGCATCACAGACATGCGTCACAACGAGACCTCAGGCCGAGCCTTGCCCTACGCCGATCCGGAGGCCCTCACAGCCCACACTTCGCAAAAGCCCAAGCAGTGTTGGAGAGCTCCTCGTGGTTGAAGCCTCGGCAAAAGGCAAAGACGTGGCTTCCTCTGGAGTACCGTGCTTCTGTTGGCGCATGGTGCCTCTACACGGGTCACATGCCTGCTAGACGAGATTGCGAGTGCGCCCTTTGTTCTGAGTTGATGCACCTGGGAATCAGGGGCGGGGCATGCTTCGCGATGACAAAGCTGCTGTTTACAGCAGCCAGCGTGTGAAACCTGAAAACCTACAAATCTAAAACTGGGACCAGCCAGAAGCCGAGGCCTTGCTTACAGCGCCAAGAATGACATGGAGCGCTCAAATGCTTACATCATCACTTCGGAATTGCGGAAACAAGGTGGCTTCTTGGGCATGCTATTTTCTTGCATTAGCCGGCACCACGATGAGGCGATGCCCACGATCTACAAAAGGTTGTGCTACAGAGAGAGGGCGGCTTTAGCTCCTCCGCGCACAACACGTCCTCCATGCTAGAGTGAGAATTCTTCAGGGTGTTCTACGCAGTCACCTTGTTAGTGGTAGAGACTATCTTGGCTTTCGCACATGGAGCTTGCTGGCCTCAGCTAGCAGACGAGTCCGTGCAGATCTCCACTGCCCAACACTCACCGTAAGTCAGAATGTGAATCCAAGCTGAGCTAGCCGCAGCAGCATGCCTGGGCTCTTGTACGCAGCAGCCGCTGACATCACTATTCGCTGGTACTGCGACCATTACATGCTTGTGGTACCATTACCAAGTACCTAATTCTCTTGCATCGCGGATGCAGTTGGCTTCCATGAGGCTTGTTGCTCGGTGTCGATCCGGCAGGAGACCCTCCGCGGCCAAGGTTTGACCCAAGTGCCTGAAGTTGAGAACATGAGTGGTAAACATATTATAGGGGAAAAAATATTTTTTCCCCTATAATATGGTAAAGACTCTTAAACGAGCCAGCTATTGTTGTTTCAATTTTCCAAGTACGCGGCAGGACGCTGGCCAAGACGAGGCAGCAATGGACCTCGCGAAGGCCATCAAGCAGCTTTGAACACCCTGTACCTATGCCCATACAAGAACCCTTGCACAAATGCTTGGGTCAGGCACGATGTGCGTCCAGAGGCCTCAGACAATCTCAGAATATCTCAGACACCTAGACAGGATCCTGCTGCGCGGCTTCAAGCTGCACGAGGCTGCAACGCTTGCCGAGCCGGGTTTGTAGACCGGTTCAGGAAGCCTGCACGTGCTCAGGTAGCACCTACCTACATGCCAAGGGCCGAGGCTTTCGGCCTGGAGACCGGCTCTCCCGGGTGTCGTCTATGTTCGTCAACACACTTGTCCTCTGCTGGAGGTGACCCGCCCCGCCCAACTTGATTGTCGACCCCGAAGCACTCAGCTCAGAACGGCAGCCATGCCAGCACACCTGAAAGCTGAGCAACTCCACAGTCTGAGATTGCTGCGAACTTCTGCGTACCGGCCTATTGGCGGCGGAAACCGCACCGAAGACGTCCCATCAGAAGGATCATCTTTTGCAACAATCCCCTGGTCGGGTGACTGCGGAGCTTTCAATGAACCATCCAGGGCTATGACACACCAAGGCCTCTTGACCGGCGAGCGTTCTCAACCGATCATCCCACTGGAGGGCGGGGTGTTGCTCCACAGCTCGCTGCAGTGCACGAAGCTCTGGCCTTACACGGTTTTCACGAAAACATCGACTGGTCTGATCGTGGGCAAGGTGGAAAGCTCTTCGCTTTACTAGCTGTCTTCTAGGGCTGCAGCACCCGAACTTGCCGTCCGTCCTTCCCGTCCTTGGCTTAGACTTGACAGCCAGCTTCTCGCAACAGAACACTGCAAAGCACCTCTGCATCCGTCGCCGCTGCGGATCCGATCATACCTCAAGAACTTGGACAGCAGCTTCGTGCAGTCAAAACTAAGCTCGTGCTAAGGTTTGCCAAGCAGATCTACAAACGTACTCATACGTTCCCACCCACCCAGCACCGGAACCGTATGGGCCTATAGCTGTGAGCGCTTGAAAATCTATTCGCCAAGTGTCTGCCCACCAGAAGGCTGGGATCTTGCCCACCGAATCGCGACATCAGCATCCCTGTCAGAAGTCAGCATTGCTCTCCGAAGTTCACGTGCATGTCTGGAAGTTGCTCCAAGTGGCTCATCAGCATCGCATCCGGATCAGCTCCGTCGCCTTGGTCAGACCGTCAGTCTCCATCAACCGCTTCTAGGCTCACACATCATTGACCATGACAAACCCTTGGTGTTCGCTGAGTCTTCTTACTGCAGCTGATTGCATGCATCCTGTCGTAAGACACTTGTCAAAGCAGTCAGTTTCGTGGGCCTCTTGCAACTGGCAGCAAGCCAAAAAGAGGGGTGGGCGAGCAACATGGTCATAGATAGTCTTTCCCTCTCGTGGATTTACAGTCCTGTTGTCGACAAGATTTCGATCCGTTCGGGCGTGCCCGAAAGAGTCTCAGTTGGTACAACATCAAAGAAAAGCTGGGGCTAAGGTCGGCGCCATCTTCTTCGCTGTTCTGCGAGTCTGGAAGCTTCTGCTCCCAGGATCTCCACCAGGCCGCTCTCTCCTAGGCTCTTTTCTCCCTCCGATCTCCTCTGTAAACGGTAGCTCTCAGCTTAGGAGGGCGCTGGACTTCCTTTGCTGCCTGCGGGAGATCCGAGCTTCATCTTCTCCTCTTTCAGCGCCTCCAGCCTGCAGCAAAGCGTGGTTTTGCTCTCGGCTCCCGACTTTGCATCCGAGACTCCGGGCTTGGCTCCGCCTACCTTCCAAAGAAAGACAAGAGCACTGGCTGCAGAACTGCGTGGAGAAGCAAGCGCTTCTGCCTCTGGCTTGCTTAGCTCCTGCTGTACCAGAACTGCGGGGCACTGTCAGTTTTGTGGCAATGCACTCGCTCACTTAACGAAGGATGTCCTCAAGCAGCATCTCGTACCTCATCTCCGCTGCCTGTGCCAGCGTCAGGCCGGCCTGCCAACACGGATGACGGCGAGGGCGAGGTGACAACAGAGATGGGACAGAGCTTGGGGCTGGCCTTTCTGGCCATAGCTTCATAGGCCTCCATGAAGCCTCGTATGTCGCTGCTTCATGGCTGAGCTTGTCATTGTATCTATGTCACACATGTCGAGCATGTTCTTATGTTCCCAGTGATCCGGGTGCTTCTTGAGCTGCTTCAGGGTTTTGGCGTTCGTGGAAGGTCGCTCGAGTTCTGCGGACCAGCCTTTGTGATGTGGGCGGTAAATGGGCCCGGGATGAAAGACCTAAGATGCCAGAGGTCCAGCCACACATGTGGTTCAGTCGCCGCATAGGCGTCCGGCAGTTTGGTCCCGATGATTGTCGGAACCTTGGCCATTCAAAACTGTCTCGAAGGGCGAAAACAATGCAGAGCACAGCCAGGCCTTTGAGCAGGACACACATGCACCTTCAGTTCCGAGGTCGCAGGAACTGGGAGACAGGTAGCTTTGTGAAGCATGCTGAGATAGCAGCGATAGGTTGTCTTTGGAATTCGACTCCAAAGCTTTGACACAAACCGCTTCTGCAACCTTTCCTTCAGGCACTACTCACTGACTCTACTGCTAGGTTTAACGAAGGCCATGGTGAATACAAAAACACCTTTCCTGGATCGTCTTTGCCCCGCAAGGTTGCAGCCTCGAGCAAGCTGCACATGACCGGTTGGACAACAAGGAAGCATGCCAATGCCCAGCCAAGCAGCAGCATGCCTGATAACCTGCAGTCACAGACCAGAAGCTTCTAGAGACAGGCACAACCGGCATCGCAGCATCTTACACGAGTTCCGGCCCAGCAGCATCAGGGTTCGGGAAGTCTCCCTCCGAAATCCCGTCACAAACCAGCAGGAGAAAGTGGGAATCCTGAGTCCGAGGGTCAGCAGCTGCCATGCAATCCCCCAAAAAGGAGGTGCGCCCCAGCGGCATCGCAATCAAAGCGACCGAACTCAGGATTGCAGGTCACCTCGCCCAAGCGAATCTTGGAGTGAGGCAGGAGACCAAAACTTATCTGTCACGCGGCTGGTCGATCTTCAGGACCTGGGCCTCCTGTTCACGTCCGAGATGTCAAGGAGGTGCAAATGGCTTCGCCCCTTTTGCCAGTCCTGTCTTCTTGAACTCAGCGTCCCCGAATCCGCGGGAAACCGCCAGTTCACCGTTCACCCGTGCAACGCCACCGGCTGCCTGCAAGGCGATACAAGAAAGAACCTGCGTCACGCTAGGCCACGCATCAGTTCCCACACCTTCTCGACAGTGCCACCACAGCCTTGCTCCAAAAATCGACCAAAGCATGCATGATCGCTTGCATCCTTTCGCTACGCTCCATCACAGTAAAGATCGGGTCAGCTGCACCCCGAGAGCTAACTATGCATTCCATCCTACCGTGCATGTCATAGATCTCCCATTGTAAGCAACTGGCGATAGATTCGCTGGCGCTCTGCAGGGTGGCAAGGCTTGTGGTCGGTGGTCAGGCCTCAGCTACACAAGTCGGAGGAAAACCTTCTAGACACCAGCGGGATGCACACATGTCATGCACTGCATCACGGGCTTTACGGGCCTTGGTCAGTTCCTCCACCGTCTACTATTCTGCCATCTCGCCGGCCGAGAAGGATGCGACTATCACCTGGGCCACATTGGGAGAGTGCCGGCCGCGGGAGGAACCAAGAAGCTTCAGGAAGCTCGTGCTGAGACATGCGCCAGCATTGGCAACTCGGATCTGGCACTTGCCACCGATTCCCTTCTGCACGATGCACATCGTTGCAGTCGACCTGAGCCAATCTCTGCAAGAAGTCACCGCCCATCGACTTCAGCCTGCTCTGGCGAACCAAGACGAAGCGGAGCGACCGGATGTCCACACACGAAGACTGTGCCATACACTCTCTCCCCCTCTGGTCCCCCTGCGCAACCTGCACGAGGTCTAAAGGCCGAGCATCCGACCCACTGGCCTGGCACTTCTCACAGGTTTCGAGCTCCCTTTCTTTCATCGGGCATAGGGGACTGTTGAGGTCGCCCGGCCTGTTGGCCCCCCGTGTGTTATGGCGCTTTGAGGGGACGTGAGAAGGTTTGGGGACAACAAAGCCTGGTGGACTGTGTTCGGTCTTTTATCTGGTTGCTTCAACACGACAACGCGATTTTATCTATGCCTACGGCTGCAACACTATGATATCTGAGGAGAACAGAACAAAAGGTCCACCATATCAAGTGCTCCCCGCAGTGCTTCCTTTGGGACACCTTTAAATAATCTTGTTGTCACAGCATGCCGACGAATACAGTAGACGCTGCAAAACAATCACAAGTATCCCCCGTCATGCATCAATGGAATGATATCGGCTAGTGTGTGCTCCCCCTGACTTTGAGGGACAACGAATGAAGGAAGGCATGAGCTAAGCGTTTGTGTAGACAGAGGCACTCACTCAAAAGTTACAAGGAGTTGCAGTGAACATTCCCCCTCTTTCGCAAGAACCAACAACGAAACAAGCTTATTACTTGGCTGAGGGTACGGGTGTTGCACTGCAAGTATAACAGCTTTGCGAGTGTCGCGTTGGGTCCCCCTACAAATCAAAGCAGACCTGGCTTGGAAACACCAAAAGTTAGCTCTGCGCGCCTTCCCTGTGGCGAGGAAAGCTGCGTCGATGTCGAACACCATCTGTCGGAATGCCTCATCACTCAGTATCGCGAACTGAATGCTAGATTACTGTCTATCTCATAGAGTCACAGATCGTACCTTGACTACCGCCTCACAATGTTCATCGGGTGCGTGCAGGCTTCTCTTTCTGCTGGGTCTTTCGAACAAGCCTCGAACCTTCTCTTACGAAAAATCACGGGAGATTTAAGACACCCCACCCGAGCCCGAGCCCTTTGCTCTCCAGCTGCTTGCACTCTCAGCACAGTGCTGCATCGTCTCTGGGGCAGCCGTACCTAGAGATGTGCGACTCAGGCAAGGCCGCAAGGCTTGAGCTTCACGGAGTTCCCAACCTGTCAAAGTGTTCCCGGAGCTTGGCTGCCACGAAGGTGGAACACATGTCGCCACCTCAGGAACTCCAGGTCCATCACACAGCCTTCAGACTTCATTGCTGTGATGATCTTTACTCTCGGCTTGCTGCCGTGGCCATCCAAGACCTCGGCGTCTCAGTCTGCTCCGAATCAGAAGAGCTCTTCTTCCAACTCCTCCAACCCTGGCCCAACTGCTGTCCCAAGTCAAATCAGAGGTTGCGGCGGCAAAGAAGCCCCACTCGGGATGCATGATCACGACATGAGAGTCCTCACAGGTGCAACTAACTTCAAACGTCCTGCGAGACATCTCATTCGCGGGATACCAGTAGCCTCCATATTGCTGCGCCATCCATTCATCTCGCAGGTGGCGACGCAGAACCCTTTGGACCACCGCTCTTCGACCTTTCAGCTTCTGTCGTCAACAGACCCATTGCATCATTTAGCACCGGCAGGTGCTGAGCTCTTGTCTGCGGTGGACTCCACCGCCATGGGTAGCATCGCCTGGGTCAACATAGGGAATGTGGCACTCTATTCATGCCTTTGGTAATCTTCACGGCTTGTGCCATGCAAAAATACCTCACCAGGTTTGGGAACCGGCCCCCATCTTGGTGAAGCCACGAGCCTCCCACATTGAGTTTCCAGAAACTCTCGGGCCAGAGCCTTTGCAAAACACCAACATGCAACAGACCTGGCAGCGCGGCCAGCGTGAACGGCGTGGTCAAACTCCCGTCATCAATGCCCACCTACACCTTTTTGGTTTCAGCTGCCTCTGACGGTGTCAGCAAGCTTTCTCTTTGCGAGTTTGGCTGAAGAGAAGATGGTCAGCCAAAGCATTGACTGACTTGCCCCGTTTACAGACATGCTGAAGTTGGCTTGCAGCTTGTGTGTAAACCAAAGTAAGGATGAATGTTCGGTTCAAACCCATGCATCATGATACCCCCCTTTGAGCCAAACCTCTTTATCAAAGGATTTCGCATCAGGCCATGCAACACTTCATATTCACAAGTTAGGCAACGTAAGATTCTCGGCACCTTGCCTCTGCTCTTGTTCACGACTGCTGCAGCCACAACCGACATGAGTGGATCCTGTCAGAGTCAGTTCGCTAACCTACGCTCGAACAAGCCCATGCCATTGCAGGACTCCAAGACCAAGAAACACATGCCAGCGAGTCATTGCGGGCACTGGCCCCTGCAAAACCCCAGACCTGGTGAGCAGTCTCCGCCCGCACTCGCGAAGGGGGGGAGCAAATCCCCACATCACGCAAGCAGTCCGACAACTGAAGATAGGACCATGCGGGACAGGCAGCGAGGAGGCAACCTCGGCAAAGGGAGGGATGCAGGCAGCTGCATACAGTCCAGATCTCCCGAATGATGAACTTCCCGATTCTGCCGGGACATTCGGGACTGCAGATCCTTTCTCAGCCACTGGCTCCTCCGTCCTGTATTTTGCCTTCTCCGCCGTCACCTCTCCATCCCGCAACATCCACATAGCCGGTCCATTTTCAGTCAATCAGGGGCCTGCATAATCCTGGCAACGACGGGCTGCTGGCCTGAGACGGAGGCGGTTTGCTCAGAGTGCGAGAGGTTCGCAGGCACAGGGCTGAGTGAAAGGTGCATCTGAACTCGTGTTCCGCTGGATTGCACACGATTTTGCACGACTGACGGCGCACACACACACACACACAAGCCTTGAGCCAAAGTCAGGCCGAGTAGATCGTACAGTTGGTACAGCGACGATGTGTGCTAATTATCAGGAGACTCTGAGAGAGTTCGCACCGGCCAGGTCGAGAAATCGCGTCGGGTCAACAAGACGTTCCAACAACGAAACCGGCCGGCCCAAGTTCTATGTTCTATGGGTCTTCTGTCGCTGTTGACAACCTGGAACGCACACTCTCGCTACTAGAAGTTCCCATCTTCCAGTCGAAAAATCTCTCCTAGGGTCTGGGCAAGAATTTCAACCAGCAACGCACGTTGTGCGACTTCTTAGGGGCTGCTGACAGACACTGACATCCGACAAAACCTTCGGAAGTTCAATATTCCGTCGCAGGTGTGTCTGCGTGAGTCTTCACGCTGCGGTGGTACTTTCCAAACAAGTTCCAAATATTGATGTCTGGCAAAACTATTTCGACAACGAATTCGAAAATGCTCGAATGCCTTTCGAAAGCTTAGACTTCTTCTGCATCTCTCTCGCACTGTATGGAGCTTGGATCAAAGATCTTGGCTGTTTTTCGCGTGTGGTCTGGCCTGTGCCTGGGAGGAGCCTCTGAGGAACCAAGGGAGAGTCAGCGTTAGCGGTTTAGGGTTTAGGGTTTAGGGTTTAGGTAAGCGCGTCTTCCTGAGCATCCCGCCGGGCGACACCGGAATCCTTCCCATTTGGTAGGCGAGCTCCGCCAAGTGCTCCGCAGGAACGGATCTTAGTCTTCCCTGCACACAGGGATCGAACATAAGAAGATGTTGCCCTCTTATAGTCCCCTAATACAATCATACTATAACTATCAAACATAAGCCAAGACCATATTGCTAGGCTTGCTGAGCCTCCTCGCCATCGCTCTGCGCTACCTGGCAAATGGAGCAAAGGCGAGGTTGCGTATCACGGACCACCACACCACTTAGTCACACTGTGACGATCTGTGACGTGCCAGCAGTGCTTCTTGCAACGCTTGATTGAGATCCTCCAGAACGTTCGGGAGGATCTGCAGTCCATCATCATCCTTAGAGGCATTCGTAACCCAGCTCCGAAGCTACAAGGAGGCTGAAACGGATCGTGACGCAGAGCCTGGGAAGCTGGCTGAAAGGTTTGCGATCATCATGACCGCTTTAGCGATGTCGTGGGCCTGCAGCATTTGCCACGGCACTGACGGTTGAGACAGCTCTAGATTCTAGACGGTGACCTTGCAAGCCTCGCGAATGACTTCTTCACCTCGCAATGAGATTAGGCGTGTAGGTGACTTTTACACCATGTGCCACTGCTTGCTGACACTCTCATGGCTGTATGAGCTTGCTGCGATCATGTGCACTGGGTGAAGGCGTCGGCATGGAAACCTTCGCTGGCAGCAATGATGCAGTCTCGGACACGGAGAGGAAGCGCGTATGAGTCTGCGGCTGGCCCGGTAGCGAGAAGATGCTGCAATGGGGCTTGATGCGGAGGCTGTTGCAGGTTGTGCGGCATCTGCTTGAACCTCTGACAGTCAAAGGACAGCAGACAAGAGCAAAGCTATCGAATCTGGATCACTTGTCTGCAATTCCAGCACGACTGAGTCAGCGACTGCGCAGTGCCTCGTCAATGTCACACTATGCATACAAGGTCTCAGCAAGCGGCCAGAACCCTCCAGGATGCCTTGTGGTCGGTGGGCGACCTCGTCTCGTATGGGACGCTGCTGCCGCGAACTAGGACAGGAGGCATACCAGAGGCCACTCAGTTCCGGACCGGATAGCCCTCCTGCTGCAGACGTCGGTCCCGTGGGTCCCTTGGGTCCCTCGGGTCCCTTGCGTACTCGCATGCTGCATCGAAAGGTTGGGCTGACATCCCAGCCCCTATGTCTACTCGAACACACAGATCTGCCTCATCTGGTTGTATGGAGGGAAGGAACCTGCCGGAGCCGCCGGGACACCTGAGAGGCTTCAATGATCCGTGAACCCTCTGACCTTGTGAAGGCAGCACAATCCTCTTTTATCTGGGAGACATGGGCATCCCCATCGTTTCGTGTGACTTCAGCTGATCTGATATTGCGTATCCGGAACAGCCGCACAGGCTCAGCTTTGCCGAGGGGGGGAGCAAAACACATTACATGACTTGCACATTCTGCGTCTGGGCCCTCTAGCCGCCGTAACCCGGATGACAAGCTCCAGCAGCACAGGCTCCTCGATAAGTTGGCTGAATGCAAACGTGCGATTGTCACAGATTCAGTCAGGGTTGCCGTGTCCCGTCCTTGGCCCTCATGCCGTTCGTGCCGCGTGTCCCGCGCATCTTGGCCGGACTTCGAAGGAGGCGGAGGTGGCGGTGGAACGTTCAGCTGAAAATTCGACCTTGCTGGGAGATGTCAACACAAGAATCCTCTTGCTTGGGAGAAACTAAACAGTTGCCAGGACCCATGCGCGTTTGAGCCTGCAATCCAGGCAAGCAAAGGATCAAGCCAGGCTGTGGAGGTTTCACTCTAAATAGCCTCGTGCAGCAAGGTGAGGGTCACCTGCCACGGGTGAGGACAGACACAGGAGGGTGGATATATTTCACTCAAGGACTAGCAAGCGTGTACATAGACTCCCACACAACTAGGCCCACAGACCGTGCCTCCCGTATTTTCTCGGCGTGGTCGCCGATTTTGACGACTACCTTGACAAAACGCATCCTGGATGTATACCGTGCAAGCTGGCAGCTGTCGAGCAAGGAGCCACCACTCTCCGTTCTGTCCATCCTCTCGAAGTCTGCGCTTTGACCTGGCAATCTGGCTCTGGGGCTTCCACAGATGGAAGCAGCGGCAAGCATGACAGTAGGTTGGCACAGCGGCGCATGATCCATGATCGATTGAGCGTGAGAGGAAGTCTACACATGTCTGCACAAGATGGATGATATGTGCCCTGGGCTTGTCGGCAATCCAAACTTGCATAAAAACTTGGCCCCTTACCATCTCCATAGTTCCGTCTCTCACGATCATCCAAGTCTCAACAAGGGGCCGCACTCAGCCGAATATTCATCCAACAAGAGCTGCACACAGAGCCTCTCTGAGCTGCTGAGCTTCTGCCTCAGAACGTGAATGCTCGACAGAATTGCTTTTCACAAAGCTCCCTTCTCTCGCACTCAAGAATTTTGACGGAGGCTTCTAGCTCAGCTGAGCTTGGACCATCTGAGGGGCAGGGGGCCACGGGGGAGTTTGTAAATGCCAGCCGCCAAAGCCAAAGTGTCCGTCCTCTGCTTACAGGGCTTGCAGCTTGCTAAACGACTGCAGACCTGCGGAAGGAGTCGCAGTATATCAGAGCTCTTTCAGTCGTTGGGCCGTTGGGCCAAATGAAGCCACCGAGTCATTCTCTACATCTACATGAAGGTTCTCCGCTTCCAGGCTTGATGGTCAGGAAAGCAAGTAGACAACGGCCATGGACCCTAAGTCGGGCTCTGGGCTGGCAGCTCGCGTCTGTGCATTTCCCGACTCACTTTCGGGCTGTGTTTCAGGCATCGGTGTGGCCACCCGTGTCTGGCTGACACTGGGGACATGGCCCATCAACTCGTCCTCGCCTGTAAATGACGAGATCCAGAATCCAGAGCTGGTCGAAGAACCGTCCAAGAAAATGTTCGGCCTCGTCTCTGTCGATTACGGCCTCGAGGTCGGCTTGCAAACCCGGATGTGCACACGGACTTGACCGCATCCCCGCGCTGCATGCGCAGATCCTGCCCGCCTTTGCCACGAGCTTTTGAGCCGCCTGCGGCTTGGAACGATGTATTTTTTCTTGGTGATTCGTGGCTGGAGCTAGACTTGAAGCACCCATCCTTAACCATGACTCGTACGAAAGAAAGGGCGTGGTGGTGAGCCTCCGCTTCCTCCACCTCGTTCGGAGACATTGTCAAAGGCCATCGGCTGCACGAGCACCTGAGCCCAGCAAGCCGGGATCTAGGTCCTGTTGGGTTGTGGATACTGCCTCCCTGCTTGGCAGTGCAGGCTCTAAGGATCCTAGAGGGTATCCGGGTGCACGGCCATGACCGCGGTGGCTTTGGCTCAAGGCCGCATAGGCCCAACCCGAACACCATGGCGAGGCCCTCGGTTCTATGCCCTTCTGGATTCACGTTGTCACGTTGTAGGCTTGGCTGGGTGTGGATACACGTTGTCACATTGTAGGCTTGGCCAGGGGGATTAAGTCTATTGTGGGATCATAGGATTGAGCATCTTCAAATGTCGTAGAACGGACATAATATGTCAGCACACAATCTACTGAACAAGACCTCTCCAAGACTAACACGTCTTGCATGGCTTCACATGTTGGCGCCACGTGGTTGGGAAGCCGTGCTGCCATCCAAGGGTCAGGTGGATATCGCCAAGAAAACGCCCAGTGCAGGACTGTAAAAACGACAACTTCCAAATGGCACGGAACAGAATGTTTGCTTCCCGCTTCCAGCCGCGCAGTTTGGCAGTCTGCAGCGGGCGAAACAAGACACATTAACATCGCAGCGCACTCCTGCAGTTGAGCCGGTGTTTACTGCATGGTTGGCTTGCCATGTTCAGCTTCAACATGGGCCATGAAGTGCGCCATGAAACTGGCTGGTCAGTTGGCCATAGAGTCACGAAAGGCCCGCGAATACTCATCCAGCTCGGCCTGGCACGACTCTGCACAGAATCGGCATGCCCCTGAATGTGCTCGTTGCAGTCGTTGCGTCTCACCTTCGCAAATATGCACATCTCTATGCCGTCCGCGTTGAGAATCTTGTCCTGTGGAAGCAACCAGCCGACTGCGAAAGCCAACAAAGCCCACCCCTAAAGAGGTATGCATGTGTGACAGGTGTATGTATGTATTTCTATATATATATATATAACTATATATATATACACACACACGAGGTAGTCATGTACTCATAATGTCTTGCTCGAGTTTTGCCGAGTCCTGGTCACCAGGATCCAACATGCCGAAGCCCGTCTGCAAAGCCTGAACATGTTCCCGATATCTTGCCGGCACACACACACACACTGCTGAATTGGCACTGGAAGGTCGAGCAGAACACATTTTAATCCAGCAGACACTTCAGAGGTGCGGAAACCTGACAGGCATGTCTTACACTCGTCGAGGGCATCGTCTGAGCCCTGCGTGACTTACTGTTAAAAGATGCGCAAACCAATCCTGCTGCCTGCAGCAGGTGGCAAACGCCGGTTCTCAAGCTAGTCTTGTCAGCTTGGGTCCGCTGCTCGTTTCGGCTTTCCACATCAGAACTCCTGAACTGCAATTGGCTAAATGCTAAACTTCTGTTCACAAGCCGGGCTGAAGTAGACTCCGTCCTCTCGACGATGGCTTCTTTGGAGGTTCTTTGCTTCAGCACGCCATTTGTCTGCGGCCTTCAAGTCAACACATGCATGATTCTGCTGAGACAACCATCGCGCCCTGCCTTGAACACACCTTCTGGCAGGGAATTGATAAACCTCGGTGCAGACAGTGTCAGGATGGGCAGGATGCAACCCTGCAGGCCACCTGCGGAAAATCCGCGTTGCTTCTTCCTTTGTAAGCTTTGCGTTGGGTGGAGGAGGTGATGGCAGCCTGCCCCATGTCCAGTTTGGATGCACCTGGTTTCGCAGAAAGGGCAACATGTGGCACAGTGGATTGGGCCCATCGGTCGGCCTTGCTGTGGAATCTGACCACCTCCGCTACGGCGGACCAGGAGCCGCTCCGCGGCGTTATCAAACCACTTGAAATGGCCAAGGTCTCAGCTTCCAAGGCTTGCAAGGCCAGGCCGAGAGCTTCCATGACCCTCAAAAGACAGAGTGCAAACTGAGACACGTTCCCAAGGTTCACGGCCTGCCAGACAAGTGCAGCCATGCGCAAATGCGAGGAGGCACAACTCAACACGCGGCCAAAATAAATCATCGGCGTCCTGGTGCCACCAGCCAGAAGGAATCAACAGCAAGTCTCCGGCTTCCAGCTTGGTTTCCCACAGCGGCACACCCTGCCAACACATTATATGGGCAGCATATACGTCTCGGTTGTATGCCATGCATGCCACAGAAGCAACAACCGACACAAAGCCACAGGCATGGACAACTAGGATTCGGTTGCAAACGGTCTTTCGTAGACTGTCGGTCTGTAATCAGCAACTACTTGAACATCGTGCTCGACGATTGATGCCAAGCGAAGCCATCTTCCACCCCAAAAGACATTGCAATGCAACACCCGCACTGACCGGAGCATGCGCGCAGCTGCCATTTCACGCAGAACAACGCACGTGGGTAGTGGCCTGCGGTGCGCCCTCGAACAGGTCGACTGCGGCTTCGTAGTTCACACACTCCATCGCAGAACCACAAGATCGAACTGCCACCTTGAGCTTCTCATCGTGGCCCTGAGGTCCGTGTGCAATCAGGCACATTGGTCTGGGCAGTACTTACGGATATCCTTACGGCTTCCTGCATCTGAATCGCTCCTGGTGGTATCAGTCGCACAAACTTCTCTCCACGAAGGACCAAATTCGTGCCGGTCCAGTTGTACAAATCCACATGAAGCTTTGACCTGCACAGTGCCACGGTCAGTGATCTCAGAGGGATGGTTTGAAATGTGGACATTGCCTGCACATTTAAGTGTCGTGGCACCCCAAGAGGCAGAAACGCTGGGAATTCATGCTGCGGGCTTTTGCGGTTTATTTCCGCTCTAAGCTTGCCGCTTGAGGTCCCTAAACATTGTTAACGCGTTGCATGGCTTTCGTCACGCCGTTCACCGGCAGGGGCCCGGCCTCGAGACTTCAGTCAAAGCCACGCAAAAAAACCCACCAACCCACACCAAAAACAAGACTATATAATTAGCGACTCGGCTGCCTTCCCAGAACGTGCTAGTACAAGTGCAAGCAACCCTGAAAATGCACACGCCACGCTGGCAAGAATGGGCTGTTCACATCGAAGCCTGCCAAACACAAGCACGAGTGCGGACCTGGAGTAGCGTCCTCCCCAGAGAAGGGTCGCATTGTGCGGCACGAGCTTTGCCTTCGGCTCAACCAAAAGCCCGCAACCAAGATCCGACAGGAGCTAAACTCTGCACTCTCCAGTCCAGGCACCGGCATCAAAGCAAACTGGTCCTCGTTTTGGAGCACCAAAGGCATTGGAGGGCACTCGCCGATCAGCTCAGGATGTCTGTGGAGAAAATAGGAATCCTGTATGTAAGACCATGCATCCTCCGGACAGTCTCAGACTGGACGTACATGTCAAGCCAATGAAGGAATTGATCACGAGCTGAAGAGTTGCCAACCTGGCTGTTCGTGTTGATGTGGCGCAAAAACGTTTCAAGCTTGGCGGACCTCAACTGCTCTCTACTCCAAAAACAAGAAGAATGACAATAATAATGGTAACCACAGTAATAACAACCATAATAAGAATGACAAAACTACTAATAGCACGTATCACAATCACAACAACAATAATAACAATAACAATACGAAGAAGAATAACAATAATCATGATGATAGTAACAAGAACAAGAAGAAGGAGACTGGGGGGCTGGCATGACCCGCTCCTCTTTCTTCCCGAAGCCCACGAAGACGACGCGCTCTTTGCCAAAGGGCCGCATCACAGCCTCCGACGCACCGCATTGGGCCGCTCCGGAGGAAGACATGTTTAGTATACTCTATCTTTCTGTAGTATCGTATAATACAGTACACTCTAAAATCTACTATTTTATTAATTTTATTACTATACTACAGCATATTACGCTATACTATACGACAACGCGGGCGCCTTCTCAACCCATCCGTCTTCCAAGCAGCTCGCGTTCTTGTATGCCCCTTGCCAGACGATGGGGATCTGGCCCTGCGCGGCAGATCATGTCAGAATGCTGACTTTGACACCGGCTGCAGTCTGCTGCGGATCCTCGTACTCCTCACGATAGGCTGCAAGAGTCAAGTTCTCAATCTTTGGCACTTCCCGCGGGCGTGTCCATGCAGAGTCCTGCAGGGAGGAGACCCCTGTGCGACTCGGTAGCTGTAGCTCTTGGAAACATCTGAAACACTCGTGCATCCTGCATGTCAGCCATGCCACTTTTCACGGGATCGACGACGTGCTTGAAGTGAAGCCAATCCCTGAGATGGAGCGATGGCAAAGGCTAACCTTTCCCGCCTCGCAACCTCGCATGCTATGGTGACTTTGTCTTAGTGACACATGCCGACCAACCGTCTTGCAAGTGAGGCATGAAGCCGACAAGCCAGAAGCTGTGTATGTACAGGGCTTGGGCTTTCACATGCATAATCCGGCCGAGCCATTGCAGGACCCCTGTGCTCCTTCCCGCTTCAAAAGGGCGAAAGATTCGAGCTCTACAGCGGCAACCGTGGTTCGAACGTCGCGGCTTCGTTTGCAGCCAGCTTTTGGATGACATACACATGACCGCTTCGAAGCTCTTCCGGACGTGAACACCAAACTACGACTTGCTCAGCCACTTCTTGCAAGCTTGGCCAGGTGCTGTGATCAGCATCTGGCATGGCACTTCGGTTCTGCACGGTGTCAAGGATCTGGGGGGCCAAACCTATTGTTTTCGCATCCGCTGGTAACCCGGACGTCTCGTCTAGAGAGCGAACAAGATGATGGACGGCGACTTTTGCAGCCCCATACGGCAAGCTCCAGGGAGTCGGCGATAAAGCCGCTGCAGCTCCGGGCAAAACAACGAGGCCTCCCCTGCGCAGCGTATGACAAGCCACATGTGCCGCTGCTACCGACGAGTAGAGTGAGGATTCCACCATGGCTTTGGTGGTGCTAAGAACACCTGCCTCTGCTGCAGTGCCCATTGCAAAGCCTCCAGCAACATTGACGACAGCATCCAAATGACCTGCTTTGGCGAGACTCAACGCAGAAATTAAAAACTGACCTTGCTCCTCATGTCGGACTTTCCCGATGTCAATAGGTATCATCGCTGACGCGGACATCGCAGGCCCAGCCAAATTGACGTCGGCTCCAAAGGTCAGCCAGTTGCGTTGCACGAAGGTGTCACACAGCTTCCGCCCAAGCTGTCCTCCTGCGCCAACCACGAGGACCCTCTTCGCCATGGCAGCTTTGCCAAAGCACTGCTGCTCTATGTTGGGTCACTTAAGCCTCAATGCAACAGAGACTTCCCCCGCCACTGCGATCTCCCTTCCAAAGGATCCCCGCAGAGGTTCCCAAACCTGCAACCTGCAATGCAACTCCCTGCGCTATCAAGCTCTGCAAGGTAAGCAAGACGCAGGGCAGGCCTTCAGGCACTGAGGCTTGTGCTCCAGTAGATCTGCATCGAAGGAAGGCGACGCAGATGCTTTGCTCTCCGGCGCCGTTCCCCAGAACCAGCTCCTCGCAGCCTGCTCGTTGACGAAAACCCAAAAAATTTCAGGAACCACAACCGCGCGACAGGTAACAAAACGATGCACTGCCCGGAATGCAGTTCACCCCTAAGCCTCCCCCGACCCTTGGGAGAACGGCTAGCAATGGCCCGCAGGTTCTGCACTTTTCGCTCAAACTCCTTTGGTGTGGACTTCTGGCCTGCCCTGCTGGGCTCTGTTGGGCTCTTCTTCTCGTTGCAACTTCCCTCGGGTCGTCTCCGTCTCTATTCGAGGGTCTTCTCCCGAGCAACGCTCCGATCCATTGGCCAGTCGATGAACACGCCAACCTACAGCTGTGTATAGTAGTGACTGTTCCGGTCTTGCTGTGTGAAACAGCAGTTGCATCCGCCTTTGCTACGACATGCTACCACAAACCGCAATGAGTGCTTGACAGGCGACAAGCCACGTGCCCGACAAGCAGTCCGTGTTGTTCCCGATGCATCTCTGGACTCTAGACCGTAGGTCTAAGTCAGAGAACACACTCAGACATCCTATGTTTAAGAATGAATCGTGACTCCACTCCTCCTAAGTATCTCCCTGCCAGTATCTCTCTGTGTCTGGCTTGTCTCTCGTCTGCTGTCGACATCTCTATCTCCTCTTCAGAAACCGAGGAAACGGGTCTTCTTGCCACCCGCCCTTCCATGTGACTTCAGTCACACTTCAAGTGAAGCCAGGCAACAGGAAGCCAGCACGCCCATACAAGGCTCCACCAGCTGCGCCGCATTCACAGCAGAGGCTCTGCCCTCATGCTTGGGCTACACTCTGGGCATTGCAAAGAGTTGCAAGCGAGCTTAAGCCCAAGCAGCCTCCAAGAACCACGAAACACAGCGCATGCCAGATCCTAGGTCCTAGGACGCTGCAGGCATCGCATTGCAGGCGCCTGGACGGTCATCTCCGGCATGTCCTTCTCGAAGGGCCCCGCCTCAGCCGAGGGAGGGCTGAGCGAACACGCTCAGCCGCGGCCGCGAGGCCGAGGTCCGGGCAAAGATGGAGCTGGAGATGGGAAGCAGCCGCAAGCGCGGAAGCTCGCAGCCTGCGAACCTCAGCGCCAAGAGTACATTTCTTGCTGCTTTTGTGCAAGCCCTTGCCAGCTCCGTTTCACTATGCACACCAGGGCCGCCACTCCTTCAGAGTCGAGGCATAGGCCTGTCCGATTTCCCTTGCATCATCCCCTCATCCAGGATCTTTTTGGAGTGAGATTCCTTTTTTCGCCGAGGCTGGCTTTTGCAACTACCTGTCTCGAAGTGAGGCTGTCTTAGCCTGAGCAGCATGTTGCGTCGAGCTGCAGGAAAGTGTGTGGTGCTGTCGCAGAACCGCGTGAAAATGAAGATTGGCAGCAGAGAGCGGATTACGGGCTCCTGTCCGAAGATGTATCTCCGTCGCTGCTGCTGGCGGTTGATTGCCGCCTCAAAGCTTGTGTTGCTTCCGTGTAAGTCGAGACATGTGGTTGGGTGGCCCCCGTCAGCTGGGAGGCTGCGTGGGACATCTGCCACGAAACCTGCAAAACTTCTGGCATTGCCTTCCTCGGCTTGCTAATCCAATGCCCGCGGGCATACCCAGTTTTTTCATCAGCACTCGAGACCAAGCGTCTCCAGGCTATGTGATCCTTTCTGATGAGAGCTCTAGCAACATCGGCACCATGTACTTCGGAGTGAAGCTTCGTGCGCCCGTTCGAGCTGTGCTTTTTGAAATCATCCATCCATTTGAGAATTTCTTGAATGCGACCTGGCAGAAGAGATTCCACCTCTGCAGTGCTTCGAGCTGTTGCGACGGGACTGTCACTCTGAGTGTTTACAACGAGGATCTTCCAGTCGGCTTGGCCTTCATCAATGAGACACACTGCTCCAAGCGGTCTGCAGATGATCACATCCCCAACACCGGAAGGTGTCTGGCTGACATCAACCACATCCAAGGGGTCATCATCACCAGGAGCATCATGGAGTTCGTCGTGGTCTGTTGGATCACGGTATGTTTGTGGGAAGCATCCGTAGTTGAAAGGAACCGGTCTCCCGAAGGCTCGCAACCTCCTGGATCCTTCTGTGTCCTCACAAAGAATGTTGTTCTCGAGGGTGGTCTGGAGCCTTGCAATCAGCAAGCATCTCGGCTAGCTAAGAAGACTCACAACATGCAGTCATGGCAAACGATTCAGCTCAGATGCTCGAACTTCTGCAAGGATCCCTGCGGCATCTCGTTGACGTACCGAAAGAGTCCTGTGTCCTCGAGAAGGGTGGACAGCAAATGACACAAAAGGAAAATCGCAGCGAAGTGGACATGGTTTTCGAATCCGGCCTCATCCAACCAATCTTGCACAAACAACTCGGTTTCATGCCAGTAAGACGTGGTCGTGTGAGGGGCGTCCCAGATCGGGACATTCTCTTGTTCCGAGGACTGCTCATTGCTGTGGCCGCCCTCCCACTGTCTCGTGGAACAGCGCCGGAGAACACCACTGGGGTTCCTGATCAACTTCGATTTGCCGAGCTTTCGCTCCGTCCGCTCAGCCCGAGCCCTTGCAACTGTTTGCAGCAAGGATCTCGCCGCCACTGACACCATGGTCACACCGATCAAACAACCCAAGGATCCGAAGACGGAGCCGGGGAAGCTCTTCGGATAGTCCGGGTTGGAGCCAGCATTCGAAGCTGCACCTGCCAGCAGAATCTGTGTAGCATCTCGATGCGGTAGCACAGACCCTGCGGAGAATCCCAGGCTGCCTGGAAACACCAATAGCAAGGGAACAAGTGCCATAACTGCAGCGCACACCGTCCATGCGCCACCACGACTAGTCACATATGCAGATTCTCGATCAAGCATCTGAGAAGCAGTGTTGGGTTCAGCAGTGCGAACCAAGCCAGCGGTAAGCATGCGAAGGAAAAGGATTGGAGGGTAGAGACAAAGGACGATGGCTGAGATGGGCAGCACGTAAGCGTGCAAGCTCGCGGCAAGATCGTGCCCCAGCAGAACCAGCTCCATCACCAGAACTATCAGGGCAACCGGCCGCGTCCAGCGCTCAGCTCAAGAGAACAAGAAAAGCGTTGTCATCACTCGCATCTACATCAAAATAAAATCTTGGCGACCTCGAGCCATCAAGCGGCAGTTCAAAAATCCAGGTACAGTCCCTCCATGTGCAGAGCAGAGACAAGCGACAACCCGAACCCTGTGAATGTGTGCCTCTATGCCACCACACCTCGAAGTTCGCACTCAGGCAAGTGGGTACCAGGAGAACAGATCTATGGAATGCGAGACACAGTGCAATGGGAGTCAGGTAGCTCATGATGACTCACACTCTTGTCTATCTCCTTTGTTCCTACATGAGAAACTGAAGGGTATTGTGAGAAGTGAAGGTGGACTTCGCAGCTTCACGGAAAATTAAATGCCATGTGCCCGCCCTGATAATACTTCGCAGACTACAGGAACGCGGAGCAAGGGCCTTCGCTAACTCATCGACTGCATCCGCCCAGATGTTGCTTCTCCTGAATACTCTTCTGAGGTGCACCGAGCACGGGGAGAATCACTGATCCTTCCGCTGCGTGCAAGGTCGAACACGGGTGAATACACGCAACATAACTACCTTGCATCGAGCGGCCGAACAGTGTTCTTTACATTTGGCTATTCTCCAGAAGCGATTGTAGCGATCATGTCTTGGGAAGCAGATTTTACGTGCATGGCCGCAGGGGTTGGCCTGAGTTGGGGAGTCGGGCCCACGCCCCCGGATTGATCCTTTACCTCCATTTCGGAGGGGTGGCTCTGGTCATCGAGCAATACATTAAATTTACGGCTGTTTCATGTTGTGCTTGAGGGCTAGATTCTAGAGAGGCTTCCTACCGAAGAGCCACGCATTGTCGTAACTTCCAAAACTCCCTCTCCTAACGGCCTTGGGCCCTTTAGCCGGCAGGTGTACGGCTTTTTTTTCCGGGCAAAAGGTTTAGGGAGAGGCTCGGGCAGGATCGTCACTGCAAATACAAGCCTTTGGCGCTCCTCGATCGAAAATCGGGCCCGACCACATGTATGACATTTTTCTGGCCATTGTCATAGGAACAGAACTTGGCTTGCAATGACTGCGTGATCGCATCTTGTACGCTCTGCGGGAAGTGGCTGGATATACCGATCCATTTGTAAAGCTGACCTGATGCGCCTCCAGCACCGGAGGGTCCACTTCTTATGTAAGGCAGGCCAGCAGGATCAACGACCACCTCTCCCGCACCCGGTTCAGCTGCTGCCACTCTCAACTGGCCATGAGACAACTGGGAACCCAGAATGCCGTAAGGCACCACCCTCACTTTGGCAACGATGCGACTTCCTGAACGTGCCTTTCCCGTCTTGACGGGGAACGGTAACAAGTCGATACATTTCCCACCAGTCGCATGAACATGGGTGGCAAGCTCCTCCGCACTCCTAAACCGTGGCTCAGTCGACAAGTTCACTAGCAAAGATGATGCACACATTGCGCCGGATCGACGGTGCAGGTTCTCATCGATAGCACTCCTTGCCCCGTGACCGAACCAATGATTTCCCAGCTGCTTGTTGTTGGCACCATTCAGGAGACCAACTTTACGCACCGAAACATCTAACTCTGCCCGCCCGGACAAAGGCATCTTCTCTGCCAACTGCCGTGCCAATTCCAGTGCGTCACAATTGCGGTGGAAGTGCAGAGCCGCAGCGAGAGCGGGGCTTTGCGCCACCTTGGCCGCTGCTGCCTCGATAAACACGTTGTGGTTGGAGCGGCTCTCGAGCGAACAGTCGACCAGACAGAGGTGGAGACGCATTTGGACTTTCGATCCCGCGTCTGCTTGATCGTCCAGACACAGGAGCACAGCTGCATCGAACAAAGCACTTGCTATTCTGTAGCGCAGACCTCGCATGGCAGCAGCATCAGAATATCTGTTGTCCAGTTTGTGCAAGTTTCGCAGAAATGCTCCCATTCCGAATGGGAAAAGAATCATATCCTCAATGCCCATGTGGCTAGCAGCATGTAGCACGCGATGCCACAAAAGCCCCATGTCAGAGACATAGCGATCCTCATCTAGCCAGCGGTTATGCCCACGACGCCCTCTGTAGGAGGGATCTGGTGGCACGGAGTACTCAGGGAAATCATCCGCTGCCTCGCTCTCTCCAATGTTGATTGCTGCGGCATGAAAAATCCAGAACCATCCAGGACCTCCGATCGGCTCTTTCAGGTCATCCCCAAAGAACTTCACGGGGGGAGTGGCTTTAGCCAGGGGCACGAACTTGTCACTATAGTCTGCACGCACAGGGGCTGCGATGACGTCAAAGCGCCCCAGCAGGGCTTCTCTGTCGCGAGACTGGGCCGCTAAGAGCTCCGGTACTGAACGAGAGCAGAATGCCTGCGACGAGAGCAGAAACACCAAGGCACCAGTTTGGGTTTTCGAACCTGGCAATGCAGGCCTTCTCCCCCCTGAAGAACCTGACTTCCGCCTGTCAAAAGCTGTTGTGATGCATCTGGCTCTGAAAGATCGGCCGACCGGGAACTTGCAACAAGATCTGTCCCAGCCATCAGGGTCTGCAGCAGCATCGGGAGCATGAAGTCGCTGCGTCCGATGGTTTCCATTGCAACTCTGGCGTAGGTGACCTCGATGGCTAGAGCAAACAGGATCTCTTGCAGTCAACTCCGATCGATCAGGATAGATCTCCTGCGTGCATGCGCGACTCACAACAATCAACACACACAAAACCTACCGTCTCTCATCTCACCTCGACAGAAACTTCAACCAAGAGCCGGGCCCCTTTGCGATAATCGAGCTGAGTCTTGTTCCCGAGCAACGAAAGGACCTCGCTTTACTGGAAACGTTCGCAGCGCGTTTGCATCGCAGGCACACTTTGCACCGGAAATGCGGAATATGAGGAACAAGCTCGTTCAGCAGTGTCGTCGCGCACACCGAACCTCACCTAAGGCTTGCAAAGGGGTGAACATGTTCAAACCGAGGTCAAACACCCAAGGCTGGGTCATATATAGGCCTTGATATTTAAAAGTTGGATTTGGGGCCTGTCAGCTCTTGTATAGATAGGTCAGATAGGGACTATAAGAGGGTTCCATGACTCATTGTTCCGATTCCGATATTGCTCCGTGGCAGCTCCTCCAGGCTTTGTGACGTGCTTTGTCATGGATCGGGATGAAGTTGTTCGTACAGGAGCTTTGCATTTCTCGGGACTGACACATGCATGTTGCAGATTGGGGCAGTCTGCAAAGTTTCCACAAAAACTCGAGTTGACAGGCGCTGCCTGACAGGATTCATTCGGGCTGGGGCGATGGCCGACATGTAGTCTTGAGCTTCAGGGGTTCAACCGGTCCAAACTTCCGCAGTTAGACCGCCTACTGTATATCCTGGGATGGGCATGTTCGGTGTAGCGGTCTCTTCTGCGACGTATGCATGGATCATTATCATACTCAGCCACGTTGTTTCCTCCCCCAATGTCACATTGAGCTTCGCGTCTCTCTGCAAGCCTCCCTGTCGCTCCTTGTGATGAGCAAGTGACAGGGACTCCCTGTCACGGGCTCATCAAAAGGAGCGACACCTTCATCGCCTTCTGCAATTTCCATCCAGAATGGAGAAGTCGTCGGGATGTCCAGTGGCCCAACGCCACGCTCACCGGCATCCCCACAGCCTTTGGCATTGTGGCAAAAGGTCTTCCTGCCCATCCTTGCGTATGCACCACATTGTGAGGCTCTCCTGGCAGCGGCTCTGGAGTGGCAGTGCCGAGAAGTCAATTCTTGCAAGCCATTCCTGATGTGTTTCCTGATTCTCGTCTGAAGACATCGTCATCCAGACGTACCTGCACGATTTCGGCACTTGATGAATCAAGACTATCCTGCTGGTCCTCTTCTTGCTTGACAGCCGCCTTCTGTCTGACCAATCTTCGCAACTCCTCCCAGTCATCTTCCTCACCGCCACCATCGAGGACAAATCCAACCACCTCCAGATCGAATTGTTCCGAGAACTTCTGGCCACATCTGTCGCAGGAAGTATGGTCCGGCAGTTTCTCGAAGCCACGCTGCTGACAGTAAATCTTCTCGGCTGAAGCATCGTGACTACCATCTCCTACAGCATCCTGAGGGATGCTCGGATTGCTCGGGACAGAACTGGCCTGTGCAGTGTCAAGACCACCATGCCTCATACGCGGAGGGGAAGCCTGGACCTAGGCTGCTCAGCCCTTGCACTCTGAATCCACTTGGCGTGGAGGAAGGCAACTAGTGTCCCCAAGCCCTGCCTTCATGTCGAAAGCTCACCTCCCTTTAGCTTGCATAAGCTAAAGGGAGGTGAGCTTTACATGAAGGGCAGGACTTGGGGGCACAGTGGTCGCCCATCATGGTTGCGGTTGTAGCACCCACGTCGTTCTATAATGTCACCAGAAGGATCAAAGATTGCTGCTGCCTGCGGACCTTTGATCATGAAGCCAAACCTGTCCCGCACTTGGGCCTCGTCTGCATGAAAGCAGACTTTGCAAGTCTCCTTCCGAACGTGCCAAACGACAGCATAGTGAGGGTCAGAGCTTGTCGGTAGGCTCTCCGAAGTCACGTCGTATGGTTTCGGCCCGGCAGCCAAGTCCTGCAAAGCTGGTTCGAATTCATCAGGATCGGCCGCTGCGATTCTGTGAGCCAAACAAGCCGCCAGCTCGTAGCACCTTTGCTTGGGCCCACCATTGTCCTCCACAATCATCGAATGGTACCTTACGAGGTCATCATTCAAGCATGACCTTGCAAGTCTCATTCGATCTGTCCACCCTTCTGGCCCAGAGCATTCTTTGTGCACCGAGCCTTGCCAAGTCTGTTTGCAATACTGTTCGGCGAGCCGGAATGCTTCATCCTTGTCTTGACCCTTGTCGCAGTGTACGGTCAGCAGAGGCCCTTCAGGCAAGTTGAGAGTGCACATCCGGACCGTGCCACGCAAATGGATGAAAGAGGGGCCTGAAGTATGATGAAATTATGAACCAATGAGCAAGAGATGAGAGAAAGAGATGGGGAAATACATTGACGATACGAACTGAAGAAATAACAACAACAATCACTGAGTGCTGCGTTGCTGTTCAACCGACTAGAGGTTTCAGTTGTACTTGTGTCCTCCCCTTGAAGCAGCTTGAACCAACATTTTAGACTGCGTGTTGAACTTCGCCCATGTGTTTGCGACAAACCGCTGCACAGGTCACATTCAAAAACTCACTGCTTTCAGGTTGGCAAGTCGCATCGTCCTGAATAGATGGCAGCGTGCCGTCCGTGGCAAGGTCCAAACCAAGCTGCTTGGGATCAGCTTGCGTCCTGATTGACTGATGCGAAGATCAGAAATACCTTCTCGGCTGCCAGCCACTGAGGATGCCGCAGGTCTGCCTCGGACGCCTCAGCTAGAAAGACACGGCTGAGACGTGTCGCATGTGTTCTCCAACTGCATCTCAACCAAAAGAATCAGTGATCCTTGCAGCGATCCTGTCACCAGGGCCCGGGCATGGAGAAGATCATGCAACTTGATGTTACGAGGGAACCGCATCATGCTCTTGAATGTTTCCTCCTGAGCCGATCAGCTGCCGACCAAGGACAGCTCACATAATTCTACAAGACTCACGTCTCCTCAGACTCCGCCTTGCAGATGTGGGCTGCCCCAGCCAATCTACACACACCCTTCTGCGAATCAGATCCGAGCGGCCACATGCCGAACCTCCGGCAGGTGGGGATCCTGAGTAGAAGTGGCATTCTTACCACGAGGTCTTGCACACCGGACCTGGGGACCGGACGACTGCACAGGCAAAGGTCAAGGCAGAACGCATCAGCTCATGATCTGCCACCTGACGGGCGTCTAGGGTCCTAGGGTCCTAGAGAAGCGCTCAAGAGGCTTCATCTCTTCGCCAGGCCTCTCCTTCCAGCGATGCCGACAACACGCCAGCCGCTAGTCTTTCTCCCAGCTGTTCAAACTCCTGCAAGATGGCACACAGAGCTGCAAAGGAGCAGAAGGTCCTGTCTGGCAATTGAGAACGCTGTCCTTGGATGAATGCTTCCGCAGTTCTGAGGAGGAGTCCAGTGTGAATCGGTTTTTCTTGAGCCAACTCAACACTTCCTTCAGCTCTTTCTCTGCCGTACTGCCCGTCCAAGAGCGGAAGGGTTGCAGTCTGTTCGCCAAGAACGCCTCGGCCATCTGCAAGGCTTCGTTCAGCAGCGTGCGATCTGGCTCTACTGACAGAGCTTGGAGAACCTTGCTGATGCCTTCAAGATCCAGATCAGGCAAGCCGGACTGTCTCCAAACAGATACATTTCGCTTTGCCCACAAAGGTCCTAGGGCTGTCAGGTTCAAGTTCAACCGGGCGATCAGCCTCCTCGACCTCGGAGAGACGCTTCCAGCAGCTGCTCCGCTTGTAGAAACCGTGGGGTTCGGGTTCTCTTCGCCCTTCTCCTCCGTCGCGTCGGTTAGTCCCTTGCTGGCAGCAAAGACTTCAAGCAAAACTGCTGCACTGCCTAGACCACGAGCAATCTGTGCTCCGATGGAGTCCAGCGTCAGCATTGCCTTTCCGATGACATGATGCCCTCGAAGAGATTGCATGGCCTTGGGCAGACATATCTCGATATCAACTCCTTGCCCGTCGCAAAGTTCAAATTTCCAAACCTCGTGCTTTGTCTTGTTGTCGAAGCTCATACGACTCTTCAACCCGAGGCCTTCGCTCGACTGGAAGTATCGCTTCTTCGTAAGGCTATCAGAAAACAAGAGGAATGGCCGAATTGTGGATGCATCATGGAACCATCCAGAAAACGATGGGTCATCCTCTAGGTCTAGCCTGATGCTGTCAACAAAAACTTGATACCGATCGGCCAGAGCGTTGGCGAGGACTGGCAAAGGACACATCGTGCCATATAACCATTGCACAAACTCCTCATACTCTATTCTCTCATTGCCAGAGGTGTCTATGGAGTTGAAAATACTTTGCCTGTCTTTCCCTGCAACGCCAATGTGATCCAAGATGTTGGAAAGTTCACTCTTGGAGATTGACCCGTTGCCATTCGCATCCCACTTCTTGAAGGTGGCCAAGATTTTGTCCATGTCCTCTCGTTGATACGCTTTCCCCGTGTTCTCCATTTTGCATCACACGAGTTGCGGTCCCCAGGCCGCTCTGCTCTCTGTCAAGTCAAGAACACATGTAGCAGCCTAGCTCCTGAAGATGTTCTGGTCTCTTCTCTATCCTCTCACGCTGTGCACAACTTTGCTCACAAGTTCATCCCGGGATGTGGGGCCCCTCGAGCCAAAAGGTGCACGCAAGGCTGGAAGCGAGCGGGTTGATCAGCTTGAACAAGCATGGCCCAAAGCACGCCTGTGCCACAAAATAACTGGTGCTCGCCACTCTCTTTTTGCAAAGCGACCACCAGATCGGTCAGGACGGCAGCCCGAGCCTCGATAGCATAGTGTCGCCTAGGGTATTATAGGAGAGTAGCGTATTGTATGATATGGAAAGGCACACTAAATCCCATGTAGTGTAGTAGCTTCCAGTAACCGCACTCTCCATGAAGGTTCAACGGCACTGAGTTTCAGGCATGCCCCTCCGCAAGCGCTCGCAGCGCCAATGAAGTCGCACCAGTGTTTCAGGCTCGAAGCCTGCAGCACTGCGTGATTCACAAGCAAGACCACCGCGAAAGGCACACAGGCGTCAAGATGCCGGCAGGGAAATAAAGTAGGGACCGTGCGAGCACAGCCTTCTTGGGCCCAATATCGCAACACTCGCAGGGATTCGCGACCTTCACGCGGTTGAGTGTACAAGTGTGTCCGGTGCTCACTCGGCCCTGGCCTACGTCGGCCCATAAAACATCATTGCTGCTCATGGGTGCACTGAGGTCCTGCTCGAATGGCATAACTGCTGCGACAGCAACAATGTAACAATGCTGAACCTACCCGGTAACAGAAAAGGCTTTCGTCTGTTCTGTAGAACTTTTAAGCGCAGCGATGGCCCCGGCCGGAACAGGAAAAGCCGCTGATGTGCAAAGTCCTGCCCTTTGCTTGCAGGACTGTAGCCGTTTTGCTTGGCTCCAAAGCTCTGTGCCCAGGCCCTGATCTCCTCCAGTGATCTGTGCAACCAGCGAGCCGCCCTCGGAGCCGGCAGATGCGCACTTTCCCTAGTGGGCTCAGATGGGCTCAGGGCGGATTCATCGGTGCCAACTGGATGGCCTGTCAAACGGCAACGGATCGCGGTTACGCTGCAGGTGCTTCTTCGCCACTCGTAGTGCACCTCGACAGCTCCACGCTTGTAGGGCGAGGATGCGTGTCCCAGCAGTGCTGGACCTGAGTGCAGATTGCACAACCCGGTCTGGTGGACTGCAACGAAGACTTTTCAGGAGGAAACCCAGAAGGTAACCGCAAGCAATTGTGACAGCCCGCGCCTCCAAAAGGTGCAAGAAAAAACGAACGACACTTCTTTCGGAGATAACGAGAAGGGTAGCCTCCTCACCGCCGCAATGCTGCCAGCATGCTAGAGCACCGCACCAGTCGTGCACCTCTCATCACGTCTACGTGCAAAGCCTGCCTTAAACAAAAAAAAGCCTCCGGATAGAAGAGCCAGTCTAGAGGCCTGCTCGCAAGCAAGAGCTCTGGCATGCCAAAGCCTCCGGCGCTCTGCTCTGCTCCGATCTGCTCTTTAGGTCATCTTCGACGTCCATGCTTGTGAAAGACGAGGCCAAGTGCCCCAGGGCCCACACCAAGCAAGTGGTAAGCTTTGCCAGCACGGCTGCACCTTTTTCTGCAACAGAATGGTGTCTGTGTGTGTGTGTTCTGTCAAAGAAGATCTTGCCTCCCCGCCGAAGTCCCACTGGCATGCCTGTCCCATGATTCTGCCGTTAACAGAACTTGCAATGTTATCAAACCCACCTTTGCTTGGCTTATCAGCAATCGCCTGACCTTGTGCTCGCAGACAATCATTCACGGCATCTGCTTGAAGAACACTGTCAACAATACAGGAAGTCGGAAGGCCCCTGCCATCGCAGCCCGTGCTCGATGATCGCTCACAAAATGAGCAACGTAAACTGCCTGAGGTGCACTCTGAATCCTGGAGTTTGTAGTCACCGCGTGCTGTGCACATGACAGGAAACCCGAAGAGTGAGAAATAAGATCAGCACCCATTCATCTTTGCCTTGCTGTTCAAGCAACTGTGAGTACCTGAGCCCAGGAGGGACATCACAGCTGCCACCGATACAGCAAACTGAAACGGCCAGGGGCGGCACTGTTGTGTCAAGCGTTGGAAGGCATGTCCGCCCTCATGTGCTGTGCCGTCTTGGCCTCATGCATCTACGGCGAATCTACTGGTGCCCGAGAGTCTCTTTCCCTGCTGCTACCTGATGCATGATTCACCGAGATCGGACATGCTTAGCAGCCAACCCAGCAACGCCAACAACACGACCTGGAGACAGAGATCGGCTGAAAAAAGGCCGGCCGCGCATCATCATCTCGGAGTCCAGCCACAAAGTGCCACGACAGCGCAACATCCTGTGGGTTCTTCCTCAGACATTCAGACATGTGGCAGCAAGAGGCCATGTCTGAACCCACTCAAGGCTTGGCTCCAGGCGAATGCGTCATGTAGTCAAAATGGCTCATGTCGCAGTCGGCATCAAGGCAGCCAGCCCATTGAATAGCTCGGAACCTTTCTGCATCGCGATGTATCGTCGGATATCAATTCAGAGCCCTCGAGGGCGCAGCTGTAGGGACATGGGCTCCTCTTGGCCAGCCGCAAAACGATGCTCCGACTCATCACGCGACATCCTGTCAGGACCAAGGAAGCAAAGCCAAAAAGCCATGGAGCATGATGCAACTGTGCCGGCCTTTGCTCACCTTCCAGGGCATAAGCTGGCACCTTACCCGTGCAAAACCACGGACCTTCTCTGAGTTGCCACAGCTCCGAGCAGGCGACCGGACGGATTCTGGAGGAGCTAACTTGCTTCACCTCGAGCTTTTACGACAGGACAGCTCGAAAGTAAGCGACACCGACACGACACATTCGGGCCCAGACCATTGCGCTAAGGAAGGATTGGACCACGCGCTCCAAGGCATGTTCGCAGGTGCCTCTTGAAACGGGCTGAAGAAACGTCGGACAAGAGCTCGTTCCAGCAAACCCACACAACTGCGAGATCTGCTGCCACGATGCCCACGTCCATGCAAGCTTCCTTCAAAAGCTCACCATGGAAGACACTGAATCCCAAGGAGTGATTTTGCGGAAGTCCTCGTCTGACTGGCCATACCATAGGAAAATCCCGAATGCAGTGCGCCAGTCCAGCGCGTCGCAAGCCACCTGTCTGCTGATTTCACACGTAGAAGGTAACATAACTTAGCTACCTACGTAGCTACCTTATTATAACAAAGGACTCGCCGAACCATCTTACGCCAAGCTAGGGTTCGCAAGCCAGCTCTACTGCTCTGCCTCCATGTCACCGGCAAGTAGGCTGTACAGGCGCCACAAGTCTGGGCCCATCAGCTCAGGCCTTGGCAGAGCTCGTCACTGATATCTCTGCTCATTCTGCTCGCGCTATCGGTTGATGTAAGGACGGCACACTCTTTGCCGCCTCCACTCTTCAACTTGTTTCCTGAAGTGTTTCCAGTGCGACTAGAGGGCTGCTCGAGATTGGCAAGTGTCGCACCGCAGCCAGCGACGCTGCTCGCGACCCGGAACTGCAGAACCACCACAAGCTGCCAGGACCTGGGGCATGTAGCTGTTTTGCGGACAAGGTCGAGTGCATGAGTGCTCATTGACCTACCGTACTGTTGGAGTTCGAGTCTGCGTTTTCGTGCTGGAGCCAAAGATGAAAACGGTGACCGACACATCTGCAAACCCGAGGAAGAGCAATGGACACCAAGTCTTCCGAAGAATGCTGTAGGGAAGACACACCACGACAGCGAAACTACGAGCTTTGAGCAGCCTGTCCATCCTTTTTCATCAAGAGTAACCGGAAAACTGGCCATGAAGGGAACATAGGCAGAATCTGTGACCCTAAGATTTCCCTAAGAGCAGTCAAGAGCACGAAATCCCAAAACTCCAGATAAAGGGAGGAAGCCACGCAGTTTGAAAGGAGTGAGCTAATTTTTTTTATCAAAACAAAAACCTCAGAGCCTGACCGCTGCCAATCGGTCGAAGTAGGGGCCTCGCTCACAGGCTTTTCAGAACTTCCAAAGCGGCGGGTCTCCGAGCCTGCTCCAGTTCCCTGTAGTGCACGCAGGGCTTGTCGCGGAGAGTTGGCCGTTAGATGATGAAATGCAGCCTCCATGAATCACGCATTTGCATCAAGCCCATCGATGTTGAGACTCAGTCGGGCACCTCCGTGCCACGAGGATTAGCACAAGTCTCACCAGAAAGCAGCCTGGAACATTGGCAGTCACCGTCGAGTCACGGATTTTGTGCTTTGAGAAGCTGTTTAAGTTGAAGTATCGCCCACCTCATTGTCCGCCCCATCGCGGCCGACCTTTGTGCAAGATGCCGCACTGCTGCACAAGGAAGTGTTAGTGTGACTGTATACCTTGCAAGCTTCGGCATCCAGTGAGTTGCCGAATCGATGTTGAAGGAAGCTTAGGGACAAGCTTTTGCAAATGACTGGCAACTGTCCTCCTGCGCTGCAGTGCGTGCCACGAAACTCTTGCAATCCGATGAACTTGCTTATACGCAGGATTCTACTGACCCATGAGCGGAAATGGCGAGCAAACGACCTGTTGACCCGCGCAAGCCAGGCGCTCAGCTTGTGCAAAACCTGACACCGCAAGCCGGCTTAACTCGGAGCCGCGATGGTGAGCCAGCTAGACAGGTTGCGGTCTGCGATGACAGCTCCGCTAAGCACCGAGCCTCCCGCTTGCCTCTGGCACAGGTGCGTTTTGGAGCATTGTTTTCCCACGACTCAAAGACATTGCCATACCTTGCATGATCTACTGGCCTCTGCAATCGAAGAGGGCTCTCAGAAGCTCGAAATCCTCGCTTACGGTGTGCAGCAGAGTGCAGTCAGGTGCTGCGCCCGGTTCATTGCCAAGCACGCCACATCAGCACCATCCGTGCCGAAACAATGCTTCGCAAGCTTCAGATACTCGTCGAGGAGAACCTGCTCAATGCTACAGTCAGC